TGAATGACGTTGTTGCTCTGCGTCTGCTGGATGTGGAAGGAGGTAGTTCACAATATCAACTGAAAACATGATTGTGTTCATGTATTCACAGCTTATTTCTGCTGCAACCCCAAAAACTAAAATTGCAGGTTTAATTATATTAAATTTTGGGCACTTTTAACACTGTAAAAGGGTATTTTAACAATGTGTAGGGCTACTCGTACTGTAGACATGTATATTTTACTGATACTTTATTTTTTACTCACCCAGTAACTTTTCCCTAAAATGTAATTTACTAAATTTAAAGTTCCGTTAATTATAATTTGATTAAATTCAACATCCTTACAGTTAGATGTCAGCCCAGTTGTCTACAACTAATTCCCACTTCACCCAGGTTTCCAAGTATTTTTCTTTGTGACATAATTCGGATATATCTTTCACATTATGACCCTGTTTTATATTATTTTGGTAGAGTTTATTAATTAGCCTTTTCTGGAGTTTTTTCCTCTCCTCGCACCTTTCTTTTATGTCCTTTTTTATTTTAACTTGCTCAAAAAAATAAAACTGAAACTCCAAACAGTTGCAAACCATTTTTCCTCCTCAGCCCTCAGTCAGCAATTTCTATTTGTTTTTCCTCTTTCACACTAACTGCCTCTAATTAAAACTACCACTTCCGTAATCTCATCACATGTAATTGAATCTGGACTCATTCAGACATTTACCAAAAAGAAAAAGACACAAAACCTTTGGTTATGTGATCATTTGTTTGGGTTTGGATCCGATTCCCACGGTGAAAAAAACAGCTGTGATTGATGCTTGAAGGCTCTGAGTTTGTTTTGGTGAATTTGTTGAGTCCTCGCGGGAGTAATCTCTGAAATCAGACTGGAAAGTGGAAAGTCCAGTTTGTATTTGCAGACTGACAGAGCTGAGGTCAAGGCGGTGCTGTGTGTGTGTGTGTGTGTTGCAGATTATTAACATTAAGTAGAGGCAGCTGCTGATCCATCACTTAACCTCCTGTGTGACGGTTTATGAAAAGCAGAATTACCAGTGATAGATAATAGCAGGTGATCTATGTGGGGCAGGACAGAGGCCACGCCCATTTTCTATTCACGGTGGTTTTTACACAAAATCACCTAATTTCTAGAGAAGATTGAAGCTGTTTCAAAGTGAAAATGTATTTGTTAATTAAAGGGTCTATATCTAGTTTTTCAATGAAATAACTTATTAATAAATCACTTTTTTACTTCCTTTTTGTCAACGGGCTGTAACCTCAATAAGAAGTGAACCACACACCTGTTTTCTCTTGTTGCTTGCAGCCACTATTCTGCTTCTTATGTGAAGGAATCAGGTTGGGATGGAGCCCTGTGCACGCTCCCGCAAAGTCCTTATCCTCTATAAAACGTCTCTGGCTTCCGAGCATCTCTCCGACTACAGTGACAACTCTGCAGCTAACGAAAAGCAGTCTACTAACACCATAAAAAGAGAATCAGATGATGTCATGTGAAAACAGTCAACATCAGAAAGGATGATTGTTAGCTCACCGGCTAAAGCCGTCCAGCTGCTAACATTATCCGGTGCAAAATGCTATAGTTGTAACATTATGGCTTTACACATTACTTCACCAGCTAATGCGATCCACATTACTAGCCTGTGTACCACCAGCATTATGTCAAAGTGTTGATTTAGCCTGCAACAAATGATGTAAAAGTACAAAGCAAATGTGGAGCGATTAGTTAATACTAGCCTATAGTGATGCAAGGGAGGAGCAGCCAGCTACTTCAGTACGGACGTGCCTCTGTTTTCTTCGTTACGTTCAATTTAGATTTATTGTCATTTTACTGATACTCAGGGACACAGCTTCTCCACCTCTCAGTCGCTGTAACTGACGTGACCCACATACACTGAACAAAATCATAAACGGAACACTTTTGTTTTTGCCCCCCTTCATCATGAGCTGAACTCAAAGACTTTCTCTATGTACACATTTCTCTCAAATCTGTCAAAATCTGTTAGCGAGCACTTACTCCTTTACCGAGATAATCCATCCACCTCACAGGTGTGGCATGTCAAGATGCTGATCAGACAGCATGGGGATTGCACAGGTGTGCCTTAGGCTGGCCACAATAAAAGGCCGCTTGAAAATGTGCAGAAGTTTCACTGAATTGGGAGGGTCAGGAAACCAGTCAGTATCTGGTGTGACCAATATTTGCCTCACGCAGTGCAACACATCTCCTTCGCATAGAGTTGATCAGGTTGTTGGTTGTGGCCTGTGGAATGATGGTCCACTCCTCCTCATATTGCCTTTAAACATTCGAGGACTACTGGTGGATTGAACATATCTTGTGTGAAGTGGTGTGGATAAACACTGTAGAACAATAAAATAACAGAGAACATTCCTGATAAGAATCAAAACTGGATTTCAGCTTTATTTCCTTTGGAACTTTGTGGTTTTTGATCTTATTTTGTCATTCATTAAAAAAGGGGGAAAGGAGTCAGAGAATTCATGCAAACAAGATCGAGTCAAAATGGATTCGTCAGAGTCTTTCTGTTTGCCATGACCGTTTTTTGTCCCATCTAATTCTGTCAGTCATATTACAGAGGAAATGATTATCATCATCAGAAGGGCCGAGCAAGATTCACTTTGTGTTCAGCTGATTCCAGAGGTCGATTTCATCCAGGAAAGGTGTTTATTTCCAACTAACTGAGGAAAAATAAATGCTACATATCGATTAATATTTTCCACTCCACTCGAATTATTGCTGTGACTTTGGGTGAATTTGGGTTTGGGGATTTAAAGAATAGACGACAGTAAGTTTACTTATTTCCAACGTTGTCCTTGATGGAAGATTGGTGCAGTCAAACACAACTATGGCCTGTAGAAATATCTAAACATGTCATCAGGTTGTCCATGTTTGGTCTGTAATTCAGGTTGTGTTTTACTTTAAATAAAGGACAGCTGAAGGGCTAATTGTCACATTTTTGTTCACCCTCTGGATCCTGACTGATGTGAAGAGAAAGTGAACTTGCTCAGAGCTCTGGTTCATATTCACATTTGTGTTTGTATTTTTCTATATACAGCATTGGATCAATCTGCATTCTGAATAAAGGGATGTCTCACTCTAGCTCAAAACTGTTTTACTCTTAGTAACACAAACATGTCAGAGTTTGAGTTGGTTCAGCTCCAGCATGACCGTCCTGTCGGCCATCACCACCGAAACATCAAGACTTCTTATCACATCAGTCTACATGGAGAGATAACCCATCTCAAACATAGGAATGTGGTTTATTATTTACTTATGCAACACCTGACGATCTGTGGCTAACACACATCAAGTTTTGGGAATAAAGTCTCCATCTGTGAAAATGTAAAAATACTATTGCTGTGTTCAAAGCTTACTGAAAGATTGTAGTTCTCACTTTTCATGGGTAAAGTTAATCTGTGTGAATTAAGTGATAGTTTTCCATTAGCTACTTTGACCCTTCATATTGGGTGTGTGTGTGTGTGTAGGGGGGTGGAATAGGATGTGCACAAGATCATTGGTACCCATCTCCCGAGCATCAGTGATGCCTGCGCAGAGCCCAAATGATACTAAAGGTCAGTACCCACCCAGCTACAGCCTGTTCACCCTGCTGCCTTTTGGGAAGAGATATCTGAGTTTCTGCTGCCGCACCACCAGACTGCAGGCAGAGCAGCTTTCCCCCCCCAAGCTATCAGACTTTTAACCCTATTCATCGTCAGCACTGCTCCACTGAATATGTTTTGTATTTTGCCATTTTTAAAATTGCTTCTATATTAATGCATATTGTCTGCTACGTAGCAGAAGGGAGATATAAACTCAATTTCACTCTATACCCGGATATATTGTGACAAAATAAATCCACCTATGTCATGAACTCTTACAGATGTTTGTGTGACAAAAGCAAAGGTGTTTTCCCGCAGTGAAACATCCCGCTGAGTTTGGACGGTAGATTTACTTCCACCAGGTTCAACACTCTGTTGGTCTTTGGGAAGTTAGTTTTCAGATTATTATTATTATTAAAGCTTTTTAAACTCTCAGGCACAAAAACCTATTTGGTGTTCATGTAATTAACTGTGCTTTTACCCTCACTCATTTTAATACAAAGTGTATCGTGATGACACAGGAATATTTACACATCTGAGATTGCCTGTGAATGGATTCAAACTTGCATTGCGTAGCAAATATACTCTATGAGACAAGACATATCATGAGAGAGATGAGAAAGTATTTGTCAAACCAGAAAACATTTGCCCTTTTTGGATGTTATGATGTCTGTGCTTCAGATGATCACATGGCATCTTTATACTGAAATAAAAAAAAATAAAAAAAACACAAACTGAACAGATGGAACACGACGTAAGAAAAGCTAAGATGACAAAAAACATGGACTGACTTTAACCCAGATACATTTTTAAACACATGCTGTGTCAACTTCATATTTAACACATTTCTTTATGAATTGTGAGATTATTTCTATAAGAAATCACATCTGTTATCTCTTCAGTATTTCCCTCCTTTCTCCGCCGTCTTTACATTTGCCAACATCAGAAAATTAAATTATCAACATTTTAAAACAAAAGTGCTCGAAGCATGATATGAGCAAGAAGATAAATATAATTTATGTTTCTTTTGTCCTTTCTTTTGTAATTTTTTTCACAATACATACTCCTTGTCATTTTATTTTGTTCACTTTGTGATGTAAAACTCGAGCGTCGTCCCTAGACGTCCGTGTTGTTGCTCGTTGTGCATTCGCAGTCAGTTTGCTTTGGTCGCGCCCTCCTTTGGCATCGGTTTTGCAAAAAGAAAAAAGAAACCGAGAAGTAAAGCTACAGACAGACCATCAGTCTGAATTTTTTGGTATTTCATTGTTTTTGTCCTGGTTTCATCTAAGAGTTTTCTTTGGAGGGAAACCAGACGGGATTCCCAAAAGTCTCCAATAAATATCCTCGTCCAAAAAAGTTTGTTAGTTCGACGCCTTTGTCCTAAAGTTCTTCTCTGCTGAAAAAAAAAATGGATCTTTGGTTTGGTTGAATCAGGATTCTCTTCAGTAGGATGAATGTGGCTTCAATGTCTCTCCTCTCCAGAAGTCAGTCAGTCGGTCAAGTTAAAACTGTAAACAGTCTGTGTTCACAATAAGCCAGCTACATCTGAAAACACTCTTAAAGAACGACGGCCATTTTTTAGGTTGTTTTCCTAAAGATCTGCGTCCACACTGAAATGCCAGAACAACAGGAAAACCGTAAAGTCTCTTCTCTGTCTTCCTCTTTAGTCAGCCAACAGCAGAACTGCTGATCACAGCTAACGTGCCGACTACTCTCCATCATCACCTACAATGTGTTGTTGCTGTCAGACAACTGAACAAGTACGAAATACTGACTTGAATCTGGCTCATAAATGCTACCTGTTTACCTGCTACTGAGACCATTAAATCGGTATCTCCTGATCATCAAGTCATCTGACAAAATCGGTATGAAAACAGCTTAATAACAACTCCTGTACCTCTGGATGGGCTGTACTGACATTTAAAAGGAGCCATCACAAAGTGGACATCACATGGCAATAACTTAACAGACTTATATTGTAGTTTTCCAAAGGCTCACACTAAAGGCTAAATAAGTGTAATGTGCAACCCTAAGCAATTTCTGAAGCGTTTTTTCATGGTTGGCACTCGCTGCTCTCAAAGATTAGATTACATTTCATCAAATGTAACAATCCACAATAACTTGTGTTACTACGGGACCCCACGCAGTAGTATTTCTGCCCCTTTGGCATGCTTAGTGAAGTTAATATCCACAGGCAGCTGTTTAAATCACGCAAACCTCCATATGTCCATATGTTGTTAACTCATTAACTATATCTATAATTATCGATCGAGGCCCCCAGTTTCACTGTGAGCTTTCTGGTTTCACTGTAGAGAGCGGGGAAATAAAATCAATACATAAATATGGTGCCGTTTTCTTTGTGTATACTCGTCATGGAGTCGACTATTTTTGTCCATTAGATTTCTGATATCAGCCTGGTGCAGATGGTGTGTCTTCCTCAGGAGCTTTGCCTCTGGGGACAGTGAAGGTCTGAGTCGGCTTCAGTAGCGCTTATGCACCACTAATGTTGCTTTTGATACAAATTCTTAATAAAACATGAAGCCAGCAGTTTCAGATTCATCTGCTTGGGATTTTTTATCAAAAAATCTTAATTTTTGGTTGAGAAGAATATCAGCTCAGTGAGGATGGACGGAGAGAAAAAAAGACGCGTTTTTCAAATGCAGCCGCCTTAATGTGGACGTGGTCTCAGTCAGAAAACAGTCAGAGGTTAATCCACCTCGATGGACTCGCTGCTCTCGTTCACCGGTTTACACTCGTTGGGAAGTCGCTGATGGCGGCTGAGCTGAGTGGCCTGTGTGAAGCTGCGGTCGCAACGCTCGCACCTGACACACACACACGTATACAGAAAAAGAAACACACAAAACAGACAGATAAGACACAGTGATTAGTTTAAGAGTCGGCATGTAGAGAAGGTCAGAAACACACTGCTGAAGAAAAGAGAACAACACAGCACAAACACCCAGATACAACCTTCAGATCTGTCCACACACACACACACACACACACACACACACACACACACACACACTCCCTGTTAACTCTAATATCCAGTGACAGTATAAAGTGTGTGTGAGGCCCAGCGGAGCAGCAAGCTGTAATTGTTGCCCTGATCTCCGCAACCTGACCGACAGATTACACACACACACACACACACACACACACAAGGTCCACCTGTCAATAATCTATCTAGTGGGCTGGGGAGGGTATTCCCATCTCACACACACTTTAACAGACACACACACAAGCACAGACATATCCAGGCCTGATAAAGCAGCGTCACTGTCACTTTCAATAGAAAGAGAGAAGAGACGGAGCTTTTTAGTCTGAGCTTGAGGGGGTTAGGGGGCAGTTAAATATATAAATGTGTGTGTGTGCTGGATGAAGTTGGGGGTGTGTGGGGGGGGCTCTTCAAAGAGAAAGCTGTGTTGAGGTATTGGACTTAGCAGTCCTGAAACAAGACTAACATGCTGTTAGATAGACAGGAGGATGGGGCGGAGAGAGGGGGGTGTTAGTCAGATAAGGAAGGAGAGACATTATTGTATTGAAGCTGGGCCCAGTGTGGACTGAACAATGGGCATTTGCAAGATCTTTAACTTGAGGTTCTGTTCATTTAACCACATAAACACATTATAAACAGTCAGTGTATTTACAATTCAGTAACCTGTTTAATGTTGACTTTCTGTGGGAAACAAATGTGTTCAATTTTGTGCTAATGGAAAAAAAGATTTTTGCTGCAGAGTGCTTTGGATTTAAGTTTGTCCTGACATCATCGCTCATATCTGTGCGGCCTCACATCCAAGATAATTCAATCTAAAGTCAGAACAAAACTGAAACTGGCTTCACAATGAAGGAACATCACACCTAATGCAACAATACAGCTCTTTCTGTGTTTTTAATAGTGTGGACAACAGTGGCATCAGCTGTGTCAACTTGTTTTGGCTTCTTACATAAATAGCTGACAATAATACTTAAAAATCCTATATAACAAGCACTGAAAACTGCAAAGGCTATGGCAGCTTTTCAATGTCTTTTTCTTTCAACGGTAAAATGTGTTTAAATTCATCATTCTGTGAAAAACCCTAATCATATTTGTAGGGTACACGTAGCCGGGACAGTGCCCATGTTGTAGATTTTGTGCCCTGCCCAATACCTGCTGAGGTTCACGAGGCCTGCACGTGCAGACAAACGTGTTCATTTGGAATACATCCGGCGCTAAAAGTGCCTGGTCACACTGGACAGAATAAATAACATCTTGCAGGTTGTGCAACTCAGCTAATATGTTATCTTCCTCAATGCCTCAGTTCCCCCAAAAATCAGCACGGTCAAGATGGTTTGCTGTTTTTATTTGCGCAAATCTGCATGTCAAAATTCACTACAGTTGAACACTAACGTTTGAACTAAGGTACCCATATTTTGGTGAAGTTAGATGTCTTCTAACTATTTCTTTTAAATAACCAATTTAAAAAAAATGACTGGAGACAGATTTGAACCTTTGCTTCACTAACGTAATGATGAGAAACTGCAAGATGTTCCCATTATACAACTGATACTAGTGAATGTTAGAACCTTGCATGAGTGCATCTGATAAAACAGGCTGGACTGTTTTTCAGTAATCACATGAAATTAAAGCACTGCAGTTTTTAAGTAAATACATTTAAAATATGTGTGTGAGGCATCTTATAGAGAGTGAACAGCAGTATTCATTCTGGAAAGACTTCTCTTTGAGTCCTTCTCATTTTGTAAATTTTCTTACAGCACAAGAAAAACAAAACAGACCCTTGACTGAACTGAAATGCTTTGCCCTCACAGTGGACGTTCCTGCTGTAATTCGTCTGTAAATCTACAAAACCACAACAGCAACCAACATCAAAGCTCCTCTGAAGCTTCTCTGTCACAGCAACTTATCCACCAGGACAGACACGAAAACGGTTCTCCTGCAGGGCAAAGTGCGGAGCTGAAACAAGCCGGCCGCCTCCCTCTTTTCTTAGTGGGGAAAAATAATGTTGAGCACTTTGATCTGACAAAATGACAGAGGCACTTTCACTGAAGAATCAGTGAAGTTTCAGATCACCTCTTATCTAAATCAGAATGGGGAGTAAAAAAAGCCAGTTGATGAACCTGCAACTAGTTTGGCACACATTATACTTGTTCTAAGTTCTATTGAATGAATATTATTGATATTAACAAATCAGTTGATTCCTACTAAATGTGATAGTGTCGTTTGTGGTGCTGAACCCACTGAGAATCAACACCCAACTCTAGAGCCATATACAGCTTTCAGCCTATTTTAGCTCATAGGTTTGGTTCTCCAGTTGAATGGCTGAATCTCTCAGGCTCTTACCAAATGTCTATAAAACCCAATCACCAGTGTCCCCAGAGTCTGTTCTAAACTTGGCAAAACAGCATTTTTGTACTATCCTGCAAGATACATCTTATTTGGAAATTCTGCCTTCATACCAGCAAACAGTCTTCCGTGCGTCTTAGGTCTTTTTCTTTTGTGTATGTGTCTCTTTGAATATGGGACTTACATTCATCAGGCAGACACAAACATAACTCTGATGGGATTATAATTAGACTGATTTTTAAGACCGAGATTGATTATGATATTTGGGGATTTAAAATCCGATATTCTGATATATTGGCTAATATTCTTTTTTTCTTCTTTTGTGTGAACTGTGTTCTGAGTCTCAAAACATCAACAGTGAGCTGGTGGAATATTTGTGATTTAGAGGTGCTGCTTGGTGCTATAGCAAGCTCAGCATTATCTTTATAAGATACTGCTTAATAAACATAATTGTGGAAAATATGTTAAATGTTATAAAAGTAGGGGGGAACAAAATGAGATCTCTAACTGACTTATAATAATAAGAAATATAGCTCACAACTGAACTCTACGGAGCCCCTGAAATCCCATAAGATTTTATTTTACATCTTGTGCTCACAAGATGATCAGCAGGTGCTCACATGCTGCGGCAAGCGTACTGACTCATTTCTGTTTCCAGCGCTTGTGTGATGGTAGCGTGTTTTGCTGCTTTCACTAAATACTAGTTAAATTAGTTAGATGTCATTACAACGGCTATCTGTCCGCTAAACACTTATTCTTACAGTAGTTCTGCCTAAGCACTCAGCTCTTTCCATCTTTAAGGGACTCTCGTTAAATGTCATAGCTGTTTTCTGAAGTTTCTGCCAGCTAACGCTACCGTACTTAGCTTAGCAGCTATCGACGGCTTCTCTTTCTCCCTCTCGCCCTCCTGCTCGGTGTGTCAGATGTCCAATTACTCCTCTGCCTCCTTTAGCTGTAATGGTATGTGTAACAAGTGTAGTTTTTCTGTAGACATGGAGGTGAGGCTTAGTGATTTAGAAGTCCGGCTCCGCACCTTGGTAGATCCGGTGTTAGCTACTGTAGCTAGCCAGCCCCTGGTCGGTGTGGACCGGTGTTATGCCGAGTTTTGCCTGCCTGCCGAGAATTGCATGCACCTCCAAATAATGCTTTTAAACGATATAATGTTCTTTGTGGGCTTTATCAATGGTGATAAATGATTTGAAGTATATATTTATGAATGTTTAGAGTCTTTGATATTTTATTACACTTAGTAGAAGTACCATTCCTTGACATTCAGTAAATATATGGTGATAAAGCTGTTTGATCAATGAGCACACCAAAGTGTCTGAGAAGGACCTAAAGAGGTGGATGCATAATTCGGCAGATCAAATTTTGTAGGCTACCTGCCGAGATTTGCATCCACCTCTTTTCTCAGCATAAATGACCTTTAACACCCGCGAGGTGCATGCAATTCTCGGCAGGCAGGCAGAAGTCGGCACAACACCGGACCGACCCGAGTTAGCCTGTGGTAGCCGTTCCCTGGCATCCCCTGAGCAGCCAGGAAAGAGTGGCTGGGTGATTATCCGAAACAGGAATGGGCGTAAGCATTTAAAGCCCACGGTTCACCACTGACCTGTTTACGTTTCTAACAGATTTTCCCCTCTCAGCGACACACCCGCTGAGAAACCACCTCTAATTATTGGCAGCTCCGTGAAGTTAGCGAAGCCAGCGGCCATAGTTAAGTGCATCCCTGGGGCCAGAGCGGGCGACATTGAGTCTTATTTGAAACTGCTGGCTAAGGATAAACGTAAATACAGTAAGATTGTTATTCACGTTGGCGGTAATGACTACCGGTTACGCCAATTGGAGGTCACTAAGATTAATGTTGAGTCGCTGTGTACATATGCAAAAACAATGTCAGCCACTGTAGTTTCCTCTGGACCCCTACCAAATCTGACCAGTGATGACATGTATAGCCGCATGTCGTCATTCCGCCGCTGGTTGTCGAGGTGGTGTCCAGCAAACGATGTGGGCTTTGCAGATCATTGGCAGATTTCTGGGGAAGACCTGGTCTGATTCAGAGAGACGGCATCCAGTCTATACAGTCTATACAATAATCCCATTTGGGATATTAGTGGACCAAATTCATGACAACCCAGAGTTGACACTGAAGAATTACCTAGCAAAAACCCCATAGTGACAGTGTCTGCCCCCGGGTATTGAAAATATTGAAATCACAGGTAAACAGTTTTCGTTTCATTTGACAAGACATTCTTAAAACATATAGGAAGGCCCTACGTAATGCCAGAACAGTAAACTACTCGTCATTAATACAGGAAAATGGGAACAACCCAAGGTCTCTTTTCAGCACTGTAGCCAGACTGACAGAGTCACAGCTCTATTAGGCCATGTATTCCCAGAGCTCTTAGTAGCAACGACTTCATGAGTTTCTTTAATGTTAAAATTCTAACTATTAGAAACAAGATCACAATCATCTTATGGGACTTCAGGGGCTCTGTAGAACCCTGACCTAAACAAAAGGAAATAGAAACCTGGAGCATGTCATTACATGTCTTGAATCTACTTAGCACACACAAACCTTCCTCTTTTGCTTCCTTCAGTCCTCAGGAGAACACTTATGTTGCGAATGCTTTATTTTGAGAGACTGAATAGAATACAGTAGAACAATAGAACAGCACAGAAATCAGCAGCAGCAGTTTGACAGGCTCCACAGTCCAGTGAGTATCAGTGCTGAAAAGCTGCCGACCACACAGAATCCGCGCCTCCATCTCCTCAGCGGGAAAATAAAGTTGAGCGTTTTGCTCCTGACAAAGTGACAGTGGCAGCTTTAATCTATTCGCCGCACCATCCAAAAGGAGATAACTCCCAGAAGCCATCGATCTGCTAAAGATTTTTGACGCCCGTCCGTGATTGTCTTTGTCCCGCTCTGCCCCCGCCGAGACTCTGAAGTGCTGATGAAAAGGTTCGGGGTTTCCTCCGATTGCTTATTAAGAAAGCTGATTTGCTTTAACCGGATTTCTCGCTGCTGCTTGTCGTTTCACTTTTTACACTGTGATCTCTTGTTCCCCCATGCTCCCTTTCTCTCTCTCATTTTCTCACTTGTTCTTCTCGCCCTTTCGCTCTCCAAGTCAATGACAAGTTCGGATTTCTCTGATTGCTTATTAAGAACATTAATTTGCTTCCCCCAGCTTTCCCCTGATACGTGTCCTCTAGATTTCCCACAACTCAAATCCCTTATTTCGCTTTCTTCACTTTCTTTAATACCTCTTACTCTTTCCGCCCTTTCCCCTCTGTCGCCTTCCCGCCCTCCCCCTGAATGCTGACTTCTGTGTCCACTGGGGGATCTTTATTGTCCTCCAATGCTGACGGGATGACAGCATGACAACAGCAGCCTCTACAAACCCCTAATTGCAGTGTGGCTTGCCCTCTAATTATATCAGTCACTGAGTAAAGAAATGGAAATGAGCAGTCTCAGTGTGCAGAGATGTATTACCAAGCTGCTAACTGCTGTGATGGAGCTGCTTCTGTTATTGCACTAAATAATGTTTGAATTTCACCGATGCTCTCATTCAAAGACATTTACAACAAACAAAACACAAGAATGAGCAATGATTTTCCTTGATGGCCAGCATCACAAGTCATTGGTATGGAGAGCAAAGGTCAGAGGTCACAGCCGGCATGACAGCAGAAGTAACAAAATATTCAGATGTCCACAGTGGGATCATGAATAATGGAAAATAGCTGTAAAAAGCAATCAGGTCCAAGAAAGGCAAAGCAGATTCTTTAGTTTGTTTGTTCCCAGAACTGGAACAAGACTTTTTAGGGCCTTAAGCAGAACCCCACCCTCACCTGTTCTGCAACCAAAATCCAGAAGGAAACTGGAATTAAAATAAAATGCAATATAACAGAGGCATCAAAAAAGAGTTTCATTTCCCAAAGGAAAGGATTCACGACACTGCCCTTTGCTCCCATTAACATTTCTTTAACATCTCAAGCTCACACTGGCTTTTCACTGCACTTCCTCATGCAATAAAATTATGAAGTTTAATGGGAGGAGGTGACTCTGTACTTTTTAAAATTTTTTTTACACAAATTGTAAAACTGTTGTAAAATCCTGTTTTCTCCAAATGTATCTCTCATCATAGTTTAACAAGAGAAACTACTTCAACCAGATGACATGTAGTACTTTGAGATGTTATGAGAAGTTAAAGCTGCTTCACACATTCTTAATGTATAAAGCTTCATAAATACTCCCTTTGTTTACTGCTGCATTGGTCTTATTCAACCAACAATGAACACTGATTCTTATTGATAATTATGTGTTTCTTAGGTATTATAAAAGGAATCCCTGCTGCCTTTGACCCTCTGATCTGATCGATAGATCACTGAGCTGAGTAACCAGAGATAATACAGTAGCTTGTTTATAAACTGAGAGCTCATATTAGTGTCTTTTTAAAATCTTTTATGGTCATATAGATGCAATTTGCTAGATTTGCAACAAGGTAGCAGATAATCAGGACACCAGAGCTTCTGAGAGGCAATGTGTGAAGCATTATTTTGAAAAGTTTCTAAAATGCAACTGACCTACATTATATTAGCGATACCACAACAACAAATCTGAGGAATCATCTGTACGCTTGTTACCTGTAACAAGCACTGAAAACTGCAAAGGTTGTAAGTGAGTCAGTTCTACTAAGTGGTTTAAGGTGAGCCTGTGTTGGTTGTATTCTGATCAATTCAAACTTCAAACTGTGGTTGTTTTCCTTCACTGAAAAATTATTTTTAGAAAAAGTGACATCCCTGGTAGCTAGGACGCCAGCAGATGATTGTAAGTAATGAGGGGGTCAGTATGCGGTCAAGAGGATGTCAGAAGGTTGGGTGGGTTGGATGGGTGGGGGGGTACTCACTGTTACTTACTTGAACGGCTTCTCCCCTGTGTGCGTGCGGATGTGGTTGTTGAGTGTTGTGGCACCAGCGAACGCACGACCGCAGTATCCGCATTTGAATGGTCGGTCGCTTGAGTGCGTCACCACGTGGTTCCTCAAATCTGATGGCTGAGAGAAAGACTGGGAGCAGTGGCCACACTGGTATGGTCTGCAAGAGAGACAGGTGAGAAAATGAGGGTGGGGGCGGGTGCAAAAAGATTGGGTTTACATTGTGTTGTAAGACTGAAATAATGAAAGGACTTGAAATGGTAAGATGATAGTCAGATAATCTGTACGACACATGGACAAATTGAAAACAAAATCAGTATTGGTAGCTATTATGGTAGGTATGTCTCTATAAAAACAACAAACAAATATTAATTCTTTCATTCATTTATATAATTCGCATGTCATTCATGCATTCATTCTTAGTATTTTGTAGCGATGGCACTTGGCAGATCTCGGTAGAATACTGTACTCTTTATTATTCTCTGACTGCTGTTAATGTATTTCTTTTTTTCTTTGAGTTTTGCCCTTTCCAAATTGAGGCTGTCAGGACAGAAAGTGTCTTATTTTTTATAGCTTGTAACTCCCAGAGACAAACTTCTGGTTTTGTGCTACATAAAGTTGAATTCACAGACAAACAAGACATGATTGCAATGATTCAGACTCACATTGGCTCACGCAAACATGAAAAGAAGCACATAAACATGCAGAACGCAAATAAACAGACACACATACATGCACAGATACACACGTCTACACACAAACACAGATAATTACACAAACAAACAAAAACACAGAAAACACACATTAAGATACAAAAATAGATAAAGAGGGATGAGGCAACTACCCATAATGTAAGGTCTGCAAACACAGATAGCCTACACACACACACGGGGGGGCAGGGGGAGTCGGACACTGCTCCGGTAACCATGGCAGCATGACCCTCATCAACAATGCAGGCCGAGATCATGACTGGACCATCTATCACTGTGTGTCTGTGTGTGTGTGTGTAGTTAAAGAGAGTGAGATAGAGACTGTAACAGAACAAGAAAAGAAGATAGATATAAAAGAGATGGTGTGTGTGTGTTCGGCCCAAATTGGAGCTCACAGTGGGAGTGAATCAGGCTGAAACAAACAACCAAACAATAGCTGTGTGTCTGCTAATAGAGTGTCCTGCTTCCATAGAGCAGCAGATCTAATCGTACACTGTTTCTATTTATCGAGCTGAACACACAGCCTCCTGCTATCATTATCTAGTTATTTTGTTTTAACTTACAGGACACTGCTCATTTCTTGCGTTCTCTCTCTGTCTTCCGTGATCATTTTTCAAAATTCTATCCCGTTTATAGATTAAATATTTCCTTCATCAAAAGTTTATCCAAAATGACAGCATTTTTAAGTATGAAACATCTAGGCTCTTTAAAAAAAATTGTAATTTAATCTTTTGTCACTGACATAAAGCTACGGCTAACATCAGCATAGATGCCGTTAGCTATTTGTTCATTTTTAATTAGCAGAAAGTGCTGCCATTTTTACTGTGTGGAGTAAAAAAAGAGGCAGAACCTTAAACTCTCAAAACTCCTAAATGTTATCAATAATAAGTTAAATAACTCAAATATTTAGAGACAGATTATTTTATTGGTTGCTAACTGTTTCCCCTGCTGCTGAAAAAAAACAGTGACCATCATTAATAATAACAACAATAATAAGTGTTCCCCAGCTAGGAAGATTTGACAACAGAATCTATGGAGCAAAATGCAGTAAAAGTAAAAAAGTAAGTAATAATAAATGCATTAAATGTAATTTAAGTACTTCTTACATTATATTTTGCCTACCATCATCATCACTACATTTACCCTTGATCTTAATTTAATACATAACTCTAATAGTTATATTAGAATATTTATGTTTTATTTACTCTTTTTTCTTCACAAGTTTTTTTGATTTTAAAATTACACGTGTTTGCTTTTCCCACTAAAGAGATTTTTAACTGTACATTCCTGATGAGTTTTAACATTACATTCCTACATGCAGCTCTAATACCATATTCCACACAGGTACGTTTCTGTATATTATGTACTGTGCTCATATACCCCATATATATATATACACACACATACAATGTCTTCACCTAGATCGTCACTGTGTTCTGTATTACTGTGTTAGTTAAAATGTCTCTGCAGCGGTGCGACCGGGACAAACTCCCGTGTGCTGGCAGCAGTCAGAAAATAAAGCGATTGTTATTCTGAAACCAATAAGACAAAACCTTGACATCAGTACCTTACAAATAGGTAAACACCCCAGAACTAGAATAAAACAAATAGACCAACATCTTCAATGCTCCAATAAATCACAAACACCTACTGCACCCTGAGAGGATGTAGCGAGAACACACGCACACAGAGAGGAAAGTAATAAGAGTAAAATAGTGTAATATAAAATCGAAAAATTCTCACTTGCAGTTTTCCACATAAAAGGCGTCTCGCCGTGGGGGTCGGTTCATTTATCAGCCGGCTGGTCTATAAGTTCACGCCTCAGTGGGCCGCACCACTATTTATTAGGTGGGTTTTCTATGAAGAGCTGCATTGATTGTGAATAGTTTAAGTTGATGAATGTGTGGATATTATTTATTAAGGCAGCAGGCCGGGAGATTAATGCCCGGTTATTGTTTATTACAGTGGAGAGAGAAGGAGGAGGAGGAGGAGGTGAAGCATAAACACCTCCATCACACACACACACACACACACACACACACAACACACACACACAGAGGAGGTATGTGCATAATGCAACCAAAATATTTGCACACACAAGCATATGCAAATATGTTCTTGAGTGGGGGTCGAATGAATGAATGAAATCTGCAAACCTTTGCTCACAATTTAACATACGCATGAATTACCACACACATGGTTTGGGGATTTGTACTCAGGGTCCAAAATTTACGTTTTGGTCTGCTGGCCAAAGGCTGGTAAACTGAAAAAATGTACCGTCCATAAAACTGCAGAAGATACGATGTAGTGATCCAGTGTTTCTTTTGTAACGGCACGTGTGCTTGTTACCGGGGGTCTCAGCTATTTTGATAAGTAATTTTTCTGGTATAAAAATGTGAAGATTTACGGCTTTTCTTTTTAATAATTTGAATAATGTTTGTTGACAATGTTGAGGTTTGGACTGTTGAAGGTGTCACTTTGGGCTCTGGGTAATTGTGACAGCATTTTTCACTATTTTCAAATTTTTTACAAACCAAACAATCAATATAGAAAATAATCAACATTTTAGTAATCTAGCAGGTGAGTAACCTGTATGTGTGACACAGATTAGCAGGTTTGTTGAGGGGAGCGAGTCTCTCCCGGTGTGTGAGAGGAGTAGCAGAACGCTGCCGCTGCAGAACAGTGCATCCTATAAGTGGTGGTTAAGTTACTGCAGTCAACCACAACGTGGATATTTAACCAGAATAGTCACTGAAAAGTGTTGCGTCCCTGTTTGTGTTACTACAGTGTCCTACTGCAGTTGTGTGAAATGAAAAACAAGTGACACTGGACAGCAAGTCAACCAAAGACTTAATACTTGTTGACGGTCATACGTTAAATGCAGATACCACTGTGCAGAGTAGCTGCAAAACAAAACGTGTTGCGGTGATGAGAGTTTTTAGGGAAGTAGATCCACTTCAGCAACCTGCTGGTGGCAGCTGACCTCATTTATTTTACTCGCCAATATAGTTTTTTACTCGTATTTGGCGAGTTCTAATTTTGGACCCTGTACTTGTAACACTCCAAAATCCAAAATTACAGTAATGGAAAACAGCAAATCCTGGAGAAGCTGCAACAACATATGTTTGAGATATGACTGACAACATTATTAAATAGTTGTAGTTATTTTACTGTTTATCTATAATCGATTTCTCAAGTAACTGTTTCACCTTTTCTTTCACTTATACTTCAAGAGATCTGATTGGCTGAATAACAACGTAGAGGGTGCAACAGAATATCCGCTTGTACCATTTTTGCCACACATCAAAAATGATCACTAAAGAAAACAAAACTGCTTTTCCCCTGCCGTTCAATGTTTTAATATAGTTTTATATAGGCAGCAGGCGTTTAAAAATGCCTTGGCATTGCAGTCAGCGTTTGTGAACACTACTCTATGGCCTCTATGTGCGACTGAACACCATCCTGTACAGCAACTACAAAGCCAGTTTGTTTACACCCATGATTTACACAGAAATAAAGTTGTTTTTAAATAAATATACACACACACACACACATATATATTTATAATTAGGGAGGAAAATAAAATAAGTTATAAAAAAATATAGATCTTATAAAAGTGTTGTGTAAAAGCGTGAGAGGGGATTACTTTAAATACAAATATTTCAAAAACAGGATGTTTTACAAGATATTCAGTATATCAGTATTTGTGGTCATGTTCTCAGTCTCACACATTGCATAACCATGTCATGTGACATGCTTCAGTAAGATCTAACATTAATGGGACCACTGCAGAAAATTGCAGATGAAGGTTTAATATCCAGGAATTCACATTAACTACACTGCAGAGGGCCCCTGTGAACTATTAATGAAAACAATAGCTTACGTTATATTTGATTTGCTGTTTGTTAACACATTAGCTTTAAAGTTGTATTTCAATTAAAGTTTATTTATTAATAAAATAATATGTAACATATCTTATCATTAATAAAACTCTTAAAATACGTTGCTTGTAAAAAGGTTTTGCTTGAGCCACTTGAAGGTTTAGGATGTCACCAAGTCCACCTCATTTTGAGCCAGAAAAACCCTGGTGCAGCTAACTGAGCAGCATCTCTTCTGGTGCCCGTTAGCATCACACAGCTATTCAGTCTGATGGTGTTACAGTCTGTTGACAGCACAGACGTCCAAATATGTTCAGAGTCAACACTGCGACAGGCTAACAAAAACACAAAATAGACGCTTCAACTTGGTTCACAGGCTAACTAATAATACTTGGTTTGGATGGACGATGAGAGCCTCTGTGTGTGTGTGTGTGTGTGTGTGTGTGTGTGTGTGTGTGTGTGTGTGTGTGTGATATCTATAAAATTAGTCATTTTCAACACGTCTGTGAAACACGGTTCAGGACAATAAACCTTGCGTCGCCTTTCAACACAACATGTGGTAACAACAACAG